CTTTCCCTCTCCTTAAATATGAACAGACTTTTGTGACTCCATTAACCAATAGAGTATGACAGACTGATGCTATGTGACTTCTGAGTCTAGGTCGTAAAAATACCATGCACTTTTACACTTTGTTCTCTTGGGATGCTCATTCTTGGAAACCAGCCATTAAGTTGTGAGGAGGCCAAGCAGCTACTGGAAGAGGCCACTTGTCAGTGTCCTGGCTGAGGTCTCAGCCAACAGCCAGCGTCAACTGCCAGCCACGCTAGTGAGCATTTTGCCTTAGTTGAGCCATACCAGCTGACAGTACCTGGAGCAGACTCAATTTTTCCGAGCCAAACCCTGCCCAAACTGCTAAGTGATTGTTTTGGGATACTTTGTTATGTGGCAGTGGATAACCTGTTAGAATAGGGCTGTCACTACTTCTGTCCTAACTATGTATGTTCCTGTGTGTGATTCAGTGCCTTTGTAGATACCTGCAGATAGTGCATTTGTCTGTGTACATGAGCAGGTGTGTGATTGAAGGTGTTTCTGGAGACAGAATCATGGTTCTTAGGGTTTTGCTTTGGCCTCAGTAGGAGTTGTTTGGTGAGAATGTTTTGAAATCTTGTCTGTCTTCTAGGTCTCTTCTTTTGAGTGTTTTTCCTCTGAATCAGAGAGGCCTGTTTAGCTGAAAGCAAATGCAGGCTTAAATTTACTTTTTCTGGTCAAAGCCCCCTGGAGCTGCCAAGGCTTTCCCTCAGGTGGGAGGCTGTCAGCTAGGGCTCCTGCTCCTCACACTCTACAAGCCTTTAACTGGGGCTAGATATGCTGTTGTTGTTTTGTTTGTTTGTTGTTTTAACTTTTCCTTTTCTGCTACTGAAGCCTTCAGAAATGATCCAGAGACAGAGCAAAGCACAATCACTGGAGTTCTTGAGGTCTCTTGGGGTGGAGAGACATAGAATTCTTGACTGCCACTGAAGAAGCTGCTGATACAAGCTCAGGTGTGCCCAGGTCCCAAGGTAGAGGTCATCTGGTCTCCACAGTTCCTTGGTTACTGTAACCCACTCCATTTGAGTGTAGCCCAGGAAGTGGAGGACTCTGGTTCAGATGGCCATTTCCTCTTGGTCTCCTCTGCAGTGCCCCATAGCTTCCTGATTCATCCATGTTGGCAGCTTGACTTTGTTTTTCTGGGAACATTGATAGTTCTGGATTTACACTCCTGCCCTTGCACTGCCTCTTAGGACCTCTAAAGCACTGTTGTCTAATAGAGCTTTCTATGATGACGGAAATGTTCTGTAATCTGCACAATATGGAAGACGTTAGTCTCACGTGGCTATTGAGCACTTTAAATGTGGCTAGTGTGACTGAAGAACTGAATTTTAAATTTTAATTAGTTTAAATCAAAATACTACATGTGGCTATCAGCTATTATATTTGAGAGCACAGCTCTGAAGAGTTCAGAGAGCGTGTTTTTGTTTTATCTGTAAAATGGGAGTACAATCATCTACCGCACAGGGCTGTCTGCGGCAAACAAGATGATGAATGTGAAAGAGTTTTACTCACGTAAGGGATCTGGAAAGAGAGCAATGTGAACTGAATGGGCTTATTCTTACAGCTCTTTGCTAATATTTCTGTTTTATGGCCCTTGCTGGGCTATTTTGATTTGATCTGTTTACATTCCTGTGTCTCTCATCAGACCCTGAGTTCTTTGAAGGTAAGCGCCTGGAGGGACTGTTTCATACCTCTATCCCCACAACCACTGGCTGGCATGTGGCTTGGTACTATGTTCCAGTGAATAAAATATCTGGAGTCCAGAAGGGAGTCCTGGCAGCAGAATTTAAAGTTTGTGGAGAAAGCTGGGAGGTGGGGGAACAGAAGAGAAGGAACAGAGAGAAGGCAGAAAAATACCTTAGAGCTAGGGCTCCTGCTCCTCACACTCTACATTTTAGGCCCATCTAGAGAGAGCAATGAGCCAATTTCTGATGCCAGGAATGCTTCCACACAAGTGGGTATCAGGCTTGTGGGAGATTAATTGAGAAAGGCTGATCAGAGGAGAAATAATCTATTTGAAACATTTTGCTTGTTGAGGAAGCCCGGGTTGATCATATAGAGCTCTGCCTAGCCAGGTGCTGCAGTTCCCTTTGATTGATGGTGGCCTGGTTGAAGGTGATTCCTCAAGCTCTCTACTGTTCCAAGCTTTTGCTCTTCTGGGGAATAGAAGAGGGAACTTGGAAGCTCTCCAACAGAGCTGCAGGTGAGAAATGGCTTTTTGCTTATTCACTTATTTAAAAGGAAAATTTAAACTTATTTCTGCTCAATTCCAAGAATAATATAGGAAAAAAAAGAGAAGAGACAGCTGTGATCCCACCCATGCTCTGATCTCTGGACTTCAAACTTCCCACCTTTACAGTGGTCCTTCTTGTTTGGCACCATGAAAGTAGAGGCTGTCTATTTAGGCTCAGCCCTACACACTTGTTTCAACAGCTAAGGGAGACTTGAGCACAGTTGGTTTCCCTGGAAAGGTGGTTCTCAGTCAGGGATTTTCAAAGTTTGAGGACTGGAGGACACAGAATTTCCTTTCCCCACACATTTGAGCTGGTTAGATCAGTTTCAAGAAGGAAGCCAGACTTGTGAGTGCTGACCCCTATGTATCCTGCTGGACGCTTTCTCCTTTTGGCCAGTACATTTATTCATTCTATTACTAGATTTGAGCTTATTCTATTTTTAAGCATCTTACTATTGTAGCATTTATAACTTTTTAATAAATCTGTCAGGCTTGATTGTAATTTATATATTCATTCTGTAATTTATGCAATAGATTTTGTTGAACATTTATTATCTGTTCTTATGACTCTAGGCAATGACACAAGCTAGAATTATTCCTGGGCCCAGCTACTCTCACTGGTCTCCTGGATGTTCCATAGAAAAAGTGAGCTGTTCCCTGTCCTTTTCCACCCAGCTCCAGGGAAGTGTCCTATTTAGACCTTTCTGTTAAACTGGAACTACCCACCCAACTATTGCAGAGGGTCTTTTTCTCCCTCCCTAAGCTACTAATGAAGGTTTACTTAGTGGCTGCAAAGTCAATTCCCCACCTGCTTGAAGTAAATATAATCAATAAAGTAAATTAATTGCTAGAAGCTCACAGAATGCATAGAAAAGGGAAAGGAACTCAAAGAGAGGTTGTTTGCTTGCTCTTGGGGAATACCTGCTGTTTGAAGGGAGATCACTGCTTGTTGGATGATCTCACTATATGCACTCTGAGGGCCTGAGGGAGCACACTTTTTACTAGCCAGGTGAGGTAAGGGAAAGGCCTAACACAGTGGTATCGTGGAAAGAGAAACGAACTTTTGAAGGTACCCAAATCTGTCTTGAATTCCCAGTTCTACCACTTTTTGACTGTATTATCTTGTGTCCATCTTTTAACCTCTGAGCCTCAGCTTTTCCATCTATAAAAATGGGATGACAATTCTTATAAAGTTATACAGTGTATATGCAAGCAGCTGGAACCTATAACAGCTAATCAGCTGTAAAGCAGATTAGAGGCACAGGTGACTTATTTTTAAAATATTTGGTCGTCAAAAAAATCACACTATACACAAGTATACAAAATAGGTGACTTGCCGTGCCCTATTCTGCATGAATTTTCAAAGCACTATTTATTGCTTGATACTCTCGGCTTTATGCCACACTGAGTCACAACAGCTTGACTTATTTTAACTCCCGCCCCCTTTCTTCCCGAGGATTCTTCCTTTAGAAAGAAATTACATTGTTGGGAAATCAGAGAATCTTAGAAGTTCCATTTTGGTCTAGTTTAGAAACAAAACGAGTTCACGGACATCTCTTTTAGGCTTCTCCCCACTCCGGCGGAGGGATATAGGGGAAAAAAGGTCCAGGAGCTGTGCGAAGACAGACGCTGGGGGAGGGACTTAACAGAGACAGGAAAAGGCGGGGCTAATAACTCTCAGGGCCTGAAAGGGAGTGAGGTGGCAGTAGGTTCTGGAAGGCGGCAATTGGGTGAGGTGGCGAGTGATGTAATAGCCGCGGGCTCACGGGTTCAGACGGGCGCTGCCGCGTCTGCGCATCCGGAGCGGGTTGCCGGTGCGACAGCCTGGAATTGTGGGGGTTGTGTCTGCCCCTTGGCTGTCAGGCGGGAAGCCGAAGGTAGGGGTGGTGAGGGCTATCTGGCTTTGGAGCTGGGCGGGGGACTCAGGGCACTGCCCCAGCCTCCTCCTGCCAGCGGCCCGGCGCCTTCCCAGCACTGTTTTGGGGTCCCCATACATCCTCCCTAGTGTCTCCACAGCGGTATGTCCAAGTGGGCCCTGCGCTCCTCTGTAGTGTCAGGAGACCTGGCCCCTCAGCCCAACAGCCGCTTTTCCTATCTTTCCCATTCAGCATCTCTAGTAACCCTTCTTAAATTCCGGGAGATGAGGCAATGTGGGATCTAAGACTGGCTTTTGGTTCCGCATCTGTTTTAGTTTTCTTCCTTGTTCCCTTCTCTCGGCTCCAGTTTGTTCGTCTAACTACAGTGTTGACGCTGGTTCTTGGCTGAAACCTCTGTTTCTTTATCAGGTGGAATTGCGTCCTACCCCTGTCGTTTATCTACTCCTATCTTGTGTTTTTCTTTGTCCTGGTAGAAGACTTGACTTTAAAAAGTAAGGGTTACAGACTTTGGTGTGTCTTAAATCACCTTGAAGTTTGTGCATATCCCTGGTCTCCACCTATAGGGGTTTCGCGTAAAGTCGATCTTAGGCACCTGGAATTCTTCCCAGGTGGTTCTGATTCAGGTGGTGCCGAAATCCTCGCTTTTAGATTCTCTGCTGCAGAAGACAGGAGAGAATCAGTTGATAATATAAGCCCCTGTAATGTTATTCCTGGTGGGAAAGACTAGGAGTCATTAAATGCCCTACACCTGAGAAGGCAATGGGGGCTTTTACACTGTAGAAACTAGAGGGCAGGGCTCTTTGATGCCTTTAAAAATATATATGGACGACACATGTGTAAAATCAGTTTTCTAATCTTTTTTCGATGCCTGGCTTCAGTTCAAGCTCAGCTGGCTTTCCAACCTCAGTAAAACAAAACTGCAAACTGCTCTGGGGGGTTGAGTAGTTAGATTAACCCAGACTAAGTAGACAGGACAATGAATGACCTGGTCCATATTTGCTAAGAGAAGAAACTGATGTGTTTATAAACTCTCAACAGTGTTTGTTTTGACTGCGAAAGATGTTTTGTACCTGTTTTTTTTTAGCTTTCACCCCACTCAAACTTTTTTCTTTTTTGATTAAAGTATAGCAAATTTGGGATTTTGATGGGAGCAGGGCATGAAGATATCAAGGTTGATGTTTGTATAATGTGGATCAGATCTTGGTCTGTGATTTTTTTGAGAACGTGGCCCTTAGGTTTTTAAGAAGGTGTTGCCACATCAGATGTATTTTAACCTCCTGGATGTTTAGTGAATTTAATCTGCTAATACATGTGCTATTCTGATGAAAATGGCTACAGAAAAGATTTACTGACCCCATTTTACAGGTGGCAGGAATGGGGAATAAATTAGTAGCGATGTTAGTAGCCAGGAATGAAAAGTTGCCTTGTACTCTGATTCCTGTTTTCTTCCCCTTTCTGGTGTCTTTGAAGGCCAGCTATTCTCCGCAGAGTCCAATTTTGAGCCATGGTGTGTTTCACTGGAGCAAAAAAGGTAGTTAAGTGAATTTGAAAAGTAACAAAATCAATTTTAAAGTAAACATGCCAGATCTTAATCCCTCAATGAGTGTAGTTCTGTAGAATGGTATGCGTAGGTGTGAGTGGTGAGAGTTGAGGGCAGTATCTCTTAAGCAATATGGCCATTGTCCAAAGCAGTTTTGGAAAGTCACCTCCAAAATTATCTCCAGAGACTTTTTGGATCATGTGAGAGGTCAGTCTCATTAATACATGACACCATACTGTATGTTTTGTTTTGTTTTTTTTTTGACCCCAAATGGCATTAAGAAACTCTGTCACCTGACTTGTCTGTAGATGAGTTAACAATTCTTTCAAAGTGCACCTAACAGATTTTTGGAGTGTGGTAAACATGAGTTTTGATTTTGAGTCTATCACTTAACAGCCATCTGATCTTGGACAAGTTATTTTACCTCTTAGGCTTGGTTTTCCATTGCATAAAAATGGGAATAATACTTACTTTGAAGAATGGTTAAATGAGGTAGTATACATAAAAGTCCTGGGATATAGAAACGTGAACTATTTTCACCTTCAAAGAATGAAGATTTGATATTAATGAATATTAAAAAATGAGTCTCTAAAGGCAAGTTGTACCTTTTTCCAAATAGATGGATGCCTTCTAATTCTTTCATTTTATTTGTGGATTCCTGTTCTTATCCTTCCTCCTGTTTTTTTCTTCATTTTCTTTTTATTCCTGAGTGAAGCTTTGCTGCAGAGGCTGTCTTGCCAGTCTCTTGGAGTAAGCCTCTTTTCAAGAGAGCTAATCTGAACATTTTTACAATGCTAGCCCCTTGGTGGTGTATTCCTGGAGATTTTTCTCTGGGGCCTCAGATGGTACTTAGATCACTCTCTGTAGCACAGGCATCTCTAATGCCTAGATTTGGTGTCAGTTTGGAGACCTGTTCTTGTGAAACTAATCTTGTTTTTTCTAAGCAAGGATGAATACTTTATCCTTCTTTGAGTCGGCCTTAAGCTTCAAGCCTTAGTCTTCCACAGCATAGAGCTTCTTATTTTAATTATATGTGGTCTAAAGAGGGAATATCCTTCCCCTTTCTTTTATTCATTTGATTTCACCAAGGTTTTCATTGCTGAGTGAAGGAGGAGAATAGCCTGTTGCCTTTCAGGTAGGTAACCCTGATACCTAGCATCAATAATACTCAAATTTTTCTTTTGGACAAAAACCTAAAAGATTCAAACTGCTCAGGACATGTGATGAACCTCCTGGAATTTCCCTGACCTGTTAAGAGTTTCTACCTGGTGTCCTCACCTGAGCAATTTTCTCCCTTGGAGACAGAATCCAGTAGCAGCAGAACTATGTTCAGCCCAGACTTTTAGTTCCTTCAGGTTCCTCCAGGCAGCTCTTTGACGAAGGTGTGGTTTTGTTGGCAGGCCTTGTCTGCCCTCATTCTCCTACTAGTGCCCTTGGCTTTGGTGTTTGAGGAATTGAGAAGTGTCTTAGTTATGGGCTGCTATAACAGCATACCATAAATTGGGTGGCTGAAATAACAGACATTGATTTCTCATAGTTCTAGAGGCTGGAAGTGTGAGATCAGGTTGCCAGCATGGTCATGTTTTTGATGAGGACCCTTCTCTTGGTTCATAGGTGGCTGCCTTCTTGCTGTATCCTCACGTGGCTTAGAGATTGAGCCCCGCTTTAGTTATCTCTTTATAAGGGTACTAATCCCATTATAGGAGCTTCATCCATATGACCTAATCCAACCCTAATCACCTCCTAAAGTCCTACCTCCAGATACCATCACATTGGGAATTAGGGCTCCAGCATGTATTTTGGGGGCAGGGGGAGACAAACATTTGGTCCATAACAAAGGTAATGGCATAGTCAGTGCATGAGTAACATTCCATGCCAATGCCTTGGTGCAGGTTAGGGGCAGAGAACTCAGCCTAGGTCTGGACAAATGCCAAATCGTCTTGTCTCAGGAATGCGGCTGAAGTGCTGTGAATCCGTCATGACAACCACCATGTTTCTTGGTGTCACTTCATTTGTGAAATGAGAATGCCTGTATCGATCTCTCCTATGAGAAAGGTGAACTACCATCTTAGTTTGCCCACGACTGAGGGATTTCCCAGATGTGGAACTTTAATGCCCAAACCAGAAAAGTCTGTGGTAAACCAGGACAAGTTGGCTATCCTACCCATGACTATTATGCAAATTAATGTACTGTCTTTATGGAAATTGGGTCAGCCCTTTGGACGTCAAGTGTTTCTTAACCTTTTGTTCATTATCACCTTTTGAGACTTTTTTCCTAATTGTCCTCCCCCCCCCAAATGGAATTTTAATAACCATAGCTATAGTATATATCTGTTTATGTACTGTGGCCCTTTGGAGGGCCACAAACCATTGTAATATGAGATTTTTCTAACCTAAGAATCAATTTTTACTCTCTTGGGAGTGATATTGCCTTCATTGAGAATGCATATCTTATGTTCTGTCTCTATAGTCATTGAGGCATATTTTCTATCTGGTAGATCCAGCTATTGCCACAAGCTTTTTTGATGCCTCAAACACCGAGCTAGTAAAAATAGAGCATTAGCTCATTCAGTTTTCACATCAACCTTATAAGACAGTTGGTATTATCCCCATTTTACACACAAGAAATTGAAGCTCAATGAGTCTAAGTGATTTAAGGTTGGTGCAGCTAGGCTTTAAACCCAGTTCTGATTCCAAAGCTCGTTCCATTGTACTGTGCTATGAGTCTGCAGTTATCAACAGGACATTTGACCATTCAACTTTTCTCAAGGCCCTCCTCGGTGTCAGGCCCAATGGCAGATGTGGAGGACATCTTCCCCAACATGTGAAAAAGTTCTTGCTGTTGAAGAGTTCACTGTTTTTCCAGGGTGGGAATGCCTTAGGATTAGTTCTCTTGTTATCCTCTGCTATTTGGGCCTCCTGTGAGATGACTGGCTATAGCTAAGGCTGTCATGGAAAGAGTTGAGCTAGTTGGAGTGTAGGAGGGTCAAAGCTGTGAATTTGTTCTTGTATCTGTTTTCCAACCAGCTGAGCTCTTTCTAATCACTGAGCACGTTGCGTGTAGGGTATAACCAAAAGGGTGTAGCAGGTCTGGTGAACTTCTTGGTCATTAGATATTTGCGAGCATGAGGATTGGTAAGAATGACATTTTTCTTTTGCTTATTGATATTTTTAATAATTCAGTGGAAGTTCTTTGTCCCTTTGTGAGTTATTTATATTGTCTGCCTCAAAGCCTAATGCTGTTAAGAAAGTTGGAAAAGAAATAGAATGTGGGCAGAGGTGGTGGTGGGAGGGATGATTTTTACCTAGACTTTTCCAAAGAGGCTAGCCTTGAGTTTATTCTTTATTGTTTCTATTTTCTTCCAAACCTTGGACTTTCGAGGTGGTCCATTTACCATCTGCTTCTCTGGTGCCTCCCAGGCCTTTTTTCACAGCTGAACCTCCTGAGTTGGTCCAAGTG